CGTTGAATTTTCGTCGATGTTAAGCCTAACAAAGACTATTGTATCGTTAAAAATTATTTTTTTATTTTGTACAAACAAAATAAATATATTGAAAAATATAAAAACAATAAAAAATTATACTTCAGCTGTTAATTTAGTATCAAAAACGTAAAATATTTGAGTAGCCCAAGACATAGCCAAAGATTGAAGCGCCACAGCACTGGTGAAAATTTAAATTTGCTGACTGGAATTCTTTCGGATGATTGACTTTCGGAAAATCGACGCTCTACTGTATTTCTGTTTTATTTGTAAAATCACAAAAAAAGATATTCGGACATTTTAATAAAACAATCTTTTGCAAATTCACCATCTGCAAATGACTTTTCACGTTTTGCTATTTCTAGTGCGACAACAAAACTAGCAGTTGTATTGTTACTCAATTTTATCCAATTTGAAAATGTACCTTTACTTAAGTTCATTTTAGTCCGTTTACTTCTAAATTCTTGATTTTCTTCTTCTACTTTACTCTTTTCTGGCCGTATTAAATATTACCCTCAATTAACTTTTATTTGATATTTTTCTTTTGCACACTATAATATTTAATGAACTAAAGACAAGTAAATAAAAACAGTATAAAACTGCCGTACGCCAAGAGGACACGATTGTTCGTGTCGCCATTTGTAAATTATATTGGGCGGGAGAAACTGCATTTTAGTGTTCGTGGCGGTTCGTATTTCCGATTTTAAATTTGCCTTGCATTTGCAAGATGTCTCCACAGGTTGTATTTTTAGATGAAATCATGAGGGCCATGGATGAAACCGCCCAAAGATGCTCACGAAATATTACAATATGACACCACACCTTAAGCGTCATCTGCTAAAGCACTAAATTCTACCTTTGCTAGGTAGAATTTAGTGCTTTAGCAGATGATGCTTAAGGTTTAACATGTTTTTCTCAAGGCAATATTCAATTAAGTTTTGTTCTTACTGTGATAGTGAAGTGATAAGTGATTAATGAAATAAAAAAGTCTTTTTAAAATATTAGTGAAGTTTACGAGTTATCTTTTTCTTTTACTTAAATTTAAAATTTTATTTTATTATGTGTATATTATTTACTAACTTAAAAAGAACTGCAATTATGCATTAAAAGAGCCATAGATTCTCTGGCCTAGACCAAATTCTTTTCTAGCAAGACATTTGATGCTTACCTAATAAATTCTCTCCCACACACATACAATTTAAATTATATTTTACATCTTTATCAATGAAGTCATTCCTTGCTTCCAACATTTACTAATAGTTACTTGAAATTATCAAGTAACTATTATTAAATATTGGAAGCAAGGAATGACTTCATTTTTAGCATTAGTTTTCATTTATTTTAAAAGGATTGTGTTCGTGTTCTAGCATAGTTGTGGACTTTGGCGATATTTATATATATAAAATTTCAATACATTCATAGAACTTACTCCCTACTGCATATTAAAGAAAATGCAGTTTATATACGTTTCTTAATAGGGAATACTGTATAAACTTCTTTGTTGTATTATTGCTTACATCATGGCATTTAGTAATCTCTTGAGATTTTAAATATTTATTAGTAAAGTAATTGAAATGTTTAATATTTAATATGTTAAAATCCTGGATTTGTAGACAAATAAGTGTTTTAGTGTAATTTGGGAAAATTGGTTATTCACATAGACTGAAATGAGTTAGACGTTTCTCCATAAGAAGTAATGGAAAACAGTTTTCAAAATTTGTTTCGGAAATGCAGTATATTATCTAAATTTAATGCATTCACTTTTTTGATGCTTTCTCATACACAAGAAGTCATCTTATGAATAAAAGACGATCAATTAGGACTTTATTTTGCTTGGGTATCTGTTTACTCAATCATTTAAATAAAGTCCCTAGCATACTAAACCATAAAATTCTGACAGGAAAAGCATATTAAATTAATCACAAATATTTTCAACCTCATTTAAAGGCCATCTTCAATCTACATACTGTAGATTTGAAT